AGTGCGCGGAGATGTTTAAATAGTGAGCGAATCTCTCCTTCAACATCCCCCAACCCGATCACACCCGCCCACATATGGGTTTATATTATAAAAAAGGATTGCATGGGAAAGAAAAAAAAAAAAAAAAAAAAAAAACCTTCAAAAATCAAAAAAAAAATTCTACATACAGAGCATTCATTGTATACACACACACACACCTTAGAACACTTTAAGTATTTTGGATAGGCTGGTTATTTCACTTGCTGTTTGAGCCTCTGCTTCTATGTAGAGCATGAAGAACTCAGCCTGCTCTCCACGGATATGAACAGCAGTCATGCAGAAGCTATGCCCCTCTGCTATCTGACAAAGGTTATAGTCCCTTCTCATAGAGCTTCTGAAAAGTCATCATGATGGAGATGGTAGTCACAGAGAACTGACCACTTTAAACAATGGAATAAAGTACATGCGTAAATCCACCCAAGGCTCAGTGTGTGACCTGATGCCAAGATGGCACACACAAACTGAGTGAACACAGGGTGCGTCTGTTCTAAGGTCCTACCTCCTTTCATGCTGCTAGAACTGAGTCTCTAGAAAATTCTCATCTGGGAAGGGAGGGAAAAAGCTTAGGGAAAAACCATTTCCAAGTTAAAAGGATCTCAGAATTTACAAAGAACTTCTTCCCACAGGGAAATTGTAGCTGTGGGCATTTGTCTGGGATGGGCTGCCCGTTACCAGGAGCAATATGGGCTGATGCATCCTTGGCTTTCATTTTTATATTACAAGGAGAGGACATCTTGGTAGAAATATATTTAAAATCAGAATTTGTCCCTGTGACAGCTAGGAAGCAAAAATGGGTTTCCCCGGAAAGAAAAAAAAAAAAAAAAAAAAAAACCTTCAAAAATCAAAAAAAAAATTCTACATACAGAGCATTCATTGTATACACACACACACACCTTAGAACACTTTAAGTATTTTGGATAGGCTGGTTATTTCACTTGCTGTTTGAGCCTCTGCTTCTATGTAGAGCATGAAGAACTCAGCCTGCTCTCCACGGATATGAACAGCAGTCATGCAGAAGCTATGCCCCTCTGCTATCTGACAAAGGTTATAGTCCCTTCTCATAGAGCTTCTGAAAAGTCATCATGATGGAGATGGTAATCACAGAGAACTGACCACTTTAAACAATGGAATAAAGTACATGCGTAAATCCACCCAAGGCTCAGTGTGTGACCTGATGCCAAGATGGCACACACAAACTGAGTGAACACAGGGTGCGTCTGTTCTAAGGTCCTACCTCCTTTCATGCTGCTAGAACTGAGTCTCTAGAAAATTCTCATCTGGGAAGGGAGGGAAAAAGCTTAGGGAAAAACCATTTCCAAGTTAAAAGGATCTCAGAATTTACAAAGAACTTCTTCCCACAGGGAAATTGTAGCTGTGGGCATTTGTCTGGGATGGGCTGCCCGTTACCAGGAGCAATATGGGCTGATGCATCCTTGGCTTTCATTTTTATATTACAAGGAGAGGACATCTTGGTAGAAATATATTTAAAATCAGAATTTGTCCCTGTGACAGCTAGGAAGCTCAGAGAACATGAGAGCAAGGCCAAACTTGGTGCAAACCTAGAATAGCTCCTATTTACCTCTGTCTGGGAGAGAAGTCTGCCTGTAACACATGGGCCTTTATATTTACAAGCTCCCAAGTTTCCTTCCACAGGTCACACAAGAACAACCCTATATAACTTAAGCATAGACTAAAACTGTAATGTTTGGTTTAGAAAAAAAAAAGTCCAGGCTCAAGAGCAGTCATTTAAAATGAACTTTCTAGTCCAAAAATGGATGGGTAAGTCCATTAGGAGTTTTACTCAGAGAAAAATTCCAAAATGAAACAAACCAAACCAAACCGAAAAACAAAGCCCAATAACCCAATAACCTGCAGGTAGTAGTTTTACAGAATAAAATACTTTTACCAGTTAAAATAAGGAGAAGTAAAAAAGGGAGGTAACAGCTACCCAGGGAGAACAAGATGGCTGGCTCAAAGCAAAAGGTATTCTCGATTGCAAGGAAGTCTGATGAGGCCCAAAGACTGCGTGGGGCGCCTCTGAGCTAAGAGGCCAATGTCCTGGTGCACACAGACTCCAGACGGTCAACATCAGCTCCTTCTCCCCAGGCTGTCTGCTGAGGGGAAGCTACACACACAGTGGGCAGGGCCTGGTGCTTGGGGAAGGTAGAGGGGAAACTGGGGCCCATTGTGGTCTGGTCTCAGGTAACGAGTGACTGCCAAGCCTGCCCATGTATCCCCAAAGGACCCTGCTTCTCCTCCACTCCCAGTCTGGTGACTCCAAAGGGGCCTCAGATCCCTCACTGGCTCTTCATGTAAACCAGCCACAGTATCAACTCCCGTTTCCTTCCTCAGTGAGCTGGGAAACAGTGGAGCAGGCCTGGTGAGCCCTTCCTCAGAGCTTCAGAGCTGGTGGTCTCCCTCAGGTTGTTTCCAGATGCCTCTAGGCAAAGGTGTTGCCTATAGTTTTAAACACTTATGTGGCTGCCTAGAAATTTCCTGCTATTCCTGGTGTCCTGAGCAAAACTGGACTGCTACTTTTCTTCATGATATTCCCAAACTATTTTGTGCTCACATGGAAGAAGTAAAAACTCTTTGAGGTCCATTGTATTTTTCAAATTTCTGAAACAAAGTCCAGCATCTGTGCTTCTACCTACTCTGTGAGAGAAAGGCTTGAACATAGCTCAAAAGGGAAATTGTTCTTTGCCTTAAAGTATACAGCTGCCCTGTGACTCAGCAGAAACCTGTGTGCTCAGCTGGCATGGAGAGACCGTGCAGAGCTGCACATAGAACAAGGCTCAATGGAGCCTCTCAGCCCACCCAGCTATCCTTGCTTAGCAACACCCACCCTATAGGGAAATTCAGGCCTCCAGGTTGAGGGCTAGGAATCACGGCACCGGACGGAGCATGTCTAAGCCACCGAATGCTAGACAAGTCAGCCATAGCTCTTCTTTCTATCCATATGTAAGGGTACCATTTAGACACTAAGGATTAAAAAGGGCTGGTCAAGTGTTAAGAGTCCAAGGCAGAGGAGTGAGGGGGCTGGGATGCAGAAATGGGACTTGTCTTGGGGGAGCTGACTGTATTGGGTGGTATGGTTTGGTAAGTCTTAAAACCACACATAGTCCTGTACAAAATCCAGCACAACTGGAAAATGTGTTTCATTTATCCCTAGCAAGAAAGGAACTGGAGTGGGGAAGACAACTGAGAAGAGAATTTGAGAGCATTTCACGTTCCTCTAAGTTCTAGCCTCGTGAGGCTCATTCATTTCTTTCCATCAAATGGGACCCAAATTTTAATTCAAAGCTTCCTATTCCTTTTAAATATTTCACTTACTCTCCATTCCTTTTCTCCATTTTTACTTGTTTTTAAAATAAAGTGCTATTCCCTTTCTAGTACGTTAAACCTATCCAAGCAAGAGAAAGAACAAAGAATGAGATAGAAATACTCTTGTAAATATCCCTAAGAGAACAGTGCGCTTGGGTACTGCCTTTTCCACTTCTTCAAAATAAGGAATTCTTCCTTTGGCTATTTCCCAAGCTTTAATGCCTAATTTATCTAGTGTATGATGATCTTGGGTCAAATTTTCTAGACCATCTTTTGTGTGTTAAGAACTTTACGTGGATCTGTACCAATTCTCAGTGCTGTATGTCTGTACCATTATATTTGCATATTGGATACCAGAAGTACCTGTCACAGTGCTCTTTAGATGCAAAGGGCAATGAGACTTTGAAGGGGTTTCCAGTAATATGTATTATAGTTAAGTCTAATTAGGCAGACTCATCCTTGTAGTCCTTCCTGTGCTTGCTTGCTCCCTCTCTCTTTCTCATACTGCTTAATTTTCAAGTGATATATGTGTTAACAGATGCTGCTGATGGCCTTATTAGACTACTACAGGCTTGACTTGTGGAGCTTGACAGAAGTCAGTTCTCTCCATGGTAACAACTGGGACCTCACCCTTAAGCTTGGTGGGGCAGGTGATGGAATCTGGCAGAAAAGTAGTTTGTGATGATGGAAAGGGCTCTGTTGTCACTCAGAGGGGCTGACAATCAGTAGAAATGGGAAACATGAATGTGATGGTCAAAGTTCACTGTTAACGTGACTGAATTTAGGATCACCTAAAGAACATGCCTTTGGAAAGATCTGTGGAGTTTCCAGAGAGGTTTAACTGAGGAGGGGATGACCCACTAGGAATAGGGGCAGCACCATTCCATAGGTGAGGGTCCTGAACTGAATGAAAGGAGAAGCAAGTTGAGAACCAGTATTCATCTCTCTGCTTCCTCACTGCGACAAAATACAATCTGCAACTTCACATTTCTGGCTGCCACGGTTTCTACAGACTGTGTCCTCAATGTGCTCAAATAAACCCTTCCTTAAAGTCGCTTTTGTCACAGTAATGAGAAAAGTAACTAATAAAATTAGGAAGATTTCTAGTTGCTTTCTTCAAAAGCATTACAGGTGTCTGAAAGTCCAGAGGGAGCTAGAGAATAGTGCCAATGCAGTGACTCAAAGTTACATCACATTATTTAAGTTTAAATTGCATACTATCTGTTGGAAGAACGCCATCCAGTTAAATGAAGATTCTAGGCTAAGAGGCGGAGATTCAATTTATTAATCTTTCCAAAGGATTATAAGCATAATTTGAAACTGAAATTTTAGATCTTTTTTTTTTTTTTTTGAGACATGGAAGATGTAGGAATGGGTTAATTGAGTGAAAATTCTGGTTTTAAATGCCTGCAGGTGATTTTGCAGGCTTCAGATTTTATGTAATAAGACCTGAAACAAAACTTTGAGAAGTTTCTTCACCTGAGATGAACCACCTGAACAAAAAGAGCAAGACACCTCAGCAAGTTCTGGAATAATAGTGCATACTGTAAAATATTCCATCATATAAATAAAAATCTTGCTTTCTAGGCATCCTATGCAGATGGACACATGCTTGTGCAAACAGTCACACAGTGTGTTGGGCATCACCAATGATGAGTTTAGAAAGATGTCATGCAGGAACCACACTCCCACCTGGTCGCTTTATAATGTGTTCTGACTCTCTGTGTGACTGCAGCTGGGAATCAGGGCTCCCTTCCTCCTATCAGCAGGTGAGCTGCTCTCCACGGATGGGCAGCTGCAGTCCAATGGACTGAGGGGCCTGAACACAAAGGTGGGCAGCAAGCCCCTCAGGGCTCTGATAGCTCGAAGGAAAGCGGGATCACAGGGACTTTCTGGTTGCGCCTTTGGGAAGTTACTGCTCTGACCACCCAAGGTGAGATTTTTAGGGCATCAGAGGTAAAGGACTTGGAAGGAAGGAAGTGAAATTTAGGAAAATCAAAGATGTAGGAGTAGAAAGCAACACATCACCCACCTGCCATTGGGGCAGGGGGCAGGTGACAGTTACACAAGTGCGTTTGGCAGGGGCGTATCAATTTGCTTACACACTGAGGTCCCTGGGTGTCATTCTCAAGCTGGGTGACCAGTCCCCTACCTAATCCCAGCTGAGGGTGATGCTCCACGAGTGTCCAGCTGTTGTCATCCACACAGTGACTTTTGTAAACCAGCAACTGGCACAGGTCCCTGGCTGTCATGTCTGATAGAATCTCCACCACTTTGCTCGTTCCGTCTTCACTAAAGACTTTAACATCCTGCAACACACAACAGGGACAAGTACAGATAAAAACCACTTATATTTACAAGAAAAACTGAGGCAAAATGAAACCAGGTAAAAACATTAGCATCCCAACACAAGGACACCTGGTTTTACTGGCCCTAGGTCTCCTTTCCTTTCTCAGGACACATACAGGACACAGACAAGGCACTAGCCTGGCTTAGGGAGTGACAGAACTCAAACACTGCAGGTGGTTCCAGGCTGGACAAATCTCAAGAGTAAGTGCAGTGGTAAATGCCTCAGCTGATCCCCCTTCCTCCTCCCCTTTCCCCTTCCCCTCCCCCTCTCCTCCTCTACTGCCTAAACTGCCATGATTCCTTTCTCTCTGTTCCCAGAGCCCAACCAGCCTGCAGCTCCTGCTGTCCCACACCCCTTACAGTTCCTGAGGTGCAGGAGGAAGTTGACATAAATGAACAGGAATATGCTAACATTTAAACTAATAAAATAGGGCACACAAGAACACAGTCATGAAATTGTTTGACCGCCCCCCCGCCCCCCCACAAGACAGCAAGCAAGCTTCATTTTCCAGATCCTGTTCAAATCCATGAAAACCAAACAGCTCCTAGGAAAAGGGCATGGTCATGTAGAAATGCAGGAAATTAAAAATGCTCTCTGTTCCAGCTCAAATATTGACAGTTATGCAATCTTTAGGGAATGGTGGGATATACTTAAAAAACAACAACAACAACAAAAAAAACCACATCTCTGTGAATTCAAGGTCAGCCTGGTCTACATAGTGAGTTCCAGGCCAGCTGGGGCTATGGAGGCCCTGTCTCAAAAAGACCAAAAAAAAAACAAACAAAAAAACCCCCAAAACCAAAACCTCCAAACGAACGATCTTACCTCAACAGCATGGAAAAAGCAGTCAAAAGACAAGATGGCATTTCAAACTGTGATTGCTTGATACTTAGAAGTTTGTTCCTGGGGTCTCTCTACCTTCTGTGGGGGGCTAGGTTCCCCATCCAATGAGGGGCTGTAGTCCTGGGCAGCTGTGCCCTGACCAGAGCTGCCTTTGCCTGTGTGCCTGCTGCCTCCCTTGTCCCTGAGGTAGGAACCAAACCATTCCAGTAGCCCAATCCCTAACCATGACCTTTCTCAGGGTGATGTAACTACCCCATGGGCTCTTCTCCCACATCTCTGCAGGAAGACCCAGGGTGAGGCCGAGAAGGATGATGACAATATCAACACACAGTGTGATCTGCTGCAAAAATCCCTAGGCAGTGAAACCCCAGCAGGCCACTCAGGCCGAAGCATGTGCATTTTCTGGGTTCAAACAAAACCTCCTAGTTATCTTCGTCCCCAACTGATGCCATCAGTGGCAACTTTAATGTTTATTCTGCCACCAGCCACCACTATCAGCTTATTCTGACAAACTCCCTCCAATGGCTCAGCTCTCTGACCCCTTCGTGTGTTCTGAAGGATAACCATGAAGGGGAGTCAATGCCGGCACTGGGGAGAGCACTGTGGCCTTGCAGGCCTGGCACCGGCTTGCTGCACCATCCTTCAGAGATGGTCCGTACTGCTGAGAAACAAGGTTGCCCATGGATGGAAAGGAGGTTGTGCAGCTCTGGCCTTGAGCGCCTAGGTAGGTAAGGGCAGGGGTGCTTCATGGGTGCTTCACGGGAAGGGTTCTTCTCCATGCAAGGCAAGCTGGTGACACCCAAAGGGACTCTCCTCCACCCTTGCCACTCTGACTCAGAAAAATCCCAGGATTTGCTTTCAAACCCACTTTCACTTTTAAAGAAAAACACCCCTCCCTCTTTTGGAATTTATGTCTCACTCAGTGAAAGTCTGCTTCCACCAGAACAGCAGATGCCTGCACATAGCTCACGTGACTGACTCAGTCTAGGAAATAACACTTAATTCAAACCAAGAAAATATGTCTCTGGTCTCTAGACAAGAACATTCTTTTCTAAAATGCTTTAACATAAAAGAAACAAATTTGGAAAGTATAAATGCATCTCATGCCTGGCACACAGGCTGGTTGTGATGTATAGAGTGTCTCCTGTACAGTGAGGCTTTCCACTCCCCACATCAGACTCCTAACGCTCTTTTTTCTAAGCTTCTAAACATTTACGTGATTACAGTGCACACTGTCTCCTCCAGGAAAGTTATGTGGTAGTAGAGTATGCCTTTCATGTCGTCCCAAGTTTGCTTGCCACTCTTCCAATCGGCCGTGGTTCCATTTTTCAAATTTTGTTTTTGGCCCACTGCATTTTTCTTTAAACTCTCTCCTCACTCCTCTACCATTCCACAGCCACTCTCAAAGGTCTACAGTATAATATATAAAGTATATATGTGCAGATATACAGACACACATACTATTGTATAGAGTACATACCTTTTGATAGACACATAATATAGTATATAGTATATATCTGTAGATACACACACGTACACACACACACAATATCATATATAGTATAAAGGTCTAGGTGGTATAAGCTAACATGTGCTCTGCCATAGGTACACCTCCACTGCTTTGAGATTCCCACAAAAGGCTAGGGTGGCAGGACAGTACAGTACCTGATGCATGATGGGTAAAAGGCTAAACCCTCAATCCCTGCTCTCTGAACTCTGTGACAGGGGACAGATAGAAAGGCATACACTGCCAGTTATGGGCTTTATCACTGACACATCATTCTCTGGCTACTTCCCCAGACTCGACAGACCTGCCTCCCACAAGCCAAACAACCTCCAGGACAGAACCCTGGAAAAGCCATCACACACACCAGTAGTGTTGATCTGGGTAAACACTGGGAGTGCCAGAAGGGACAAAGCTAATGCTGTGCGCAGCACCAACCTCCCTCTACAGAGCCTTTCAAAGGAGGCTCTAAATGAAGTCTTCTGGGCCACACTTTCATCTGTCCCTTAGGTGGGACTCTGGGCTGTGCTAGGGCATGTTACAAACCAGAATTGTGTATTTCACAGGTCTATGTAAAAGCCTGGGGCAAGCACTCCTGAGAGCAGCCTGGGTCTGCTAGGTTCATGGAACACTCTACTTTTTCACCGAGGATAGGCACGGAAGGTTGTCTTAAGCAGGTCAAGGTTCCAGGCTCCTAGCAACTCGCAGTTTTGTAGGGAGGGATCCTTACTACTGGGAGCTATTTTCCATGGGAAAGCTGTCCAGGGAACTTATGGATCTGTGCAATACCGGGAGGAGGTGGGGAGCCAGAGACCCCAAGTTCCATCTGACACAGTCAGCTACGAGTACTGTGCCATTGGGTAGGTAGCTGCCCAAGACTCATTTTCCTCACCCTTACCCTGGGGCACTGCTCTGCTCATGAATGGGAAGCCAAAGCCAGATGCTCCATGTATGCAATTTCTGGCATCTTGGACAAGTCCTGGTGTGGGCAGTAGGGGTGCTTTCGAGAACCAGCTCAAGCATGGGGAGCAGGAGCCCTGCTTCACAAGTAACTCACTGTGAGAGTTTGGTTGAGTTACCCATGCTTTCTAAGTCTTTGTTTCCCCATGTGTAAGGGGAAATCCATAAATGGTCCTGGCCTCATAGTGTTGGTATGAACAGGCTCATGAGATATTCTTTTGAAAATCTCCCAGCCACCCGTGTCCTCAGTCCTGGGATGTGGGTGGATAAGCCCAGCTGAAAGCCTGCAGGCAGCTGGAGAAGGTATGGGAAGGACTGTGATGGCAGTTTCCTCAGTACTCCAGTTCTTGGAGAGCAGACCTCACAACTGGTAAGATATAATGGGAAAGTATCACTTGGGAAAGCCAATTCTTAAATCTTTAAATTCCTTTTCCACTGCAAAAACAGATAAACAAAACCAAATAACTAATTTCTTTTAAAAATAAAACAGTAGTATGAAAGACAGGTATAATTATGTCAAAAGTATCAAACTGTCTTTCAGAGACAGGTGAGGGGAGGGAAAACTTTGCTGGACTGGCCCACTACATATCTTGCTATAAGAGTCCTGTTGAGTTAATAAAATGTTCCATTGTTCACAGACTTTCTGTTTTCATTTCCTATACATTTACCATATAGTAGAAGGAACAAAAGCCTCATTCTTTGCAAACTTAAAGGAGGATATTTAAGAACAGTGAGTGCTGAAGTACATCTGTTCATGGCCCCAAACTACAATCTCAGATGCCTAGATTTCTGTCTCCATGGTCCTCAGTAAACGGACAGAGAGAGAGAGAGAGTCTTTTGAGTGTCTCTGCTCCCAGTCTTGGCATGGACCCTTACCACAGCTGACTGCAACAAACGGATCTCGCTGCTGCTGGCTAGGCTTAAGGAATCTTGTTACTGAATTCACAAGATCTCCTGACTTTGGTGGTAAAACTCTCCCAGAGGCTCACCTTATAAAAATAGAAAATAGGCTAGTCTGAACTCTATGCCTTTTCCCCTATCCTCCAGCTGTCTGCAATGCAACGTGTTCCTACATGGATGGCCTGGTCCCTGGGGTGCACAGGCTGATCCACACCACACAGTAACTGGAACAGTGGTGGGCATCTGTACCAGAAGATCCTGGGCCCTGAGTTGCCTTCACTCTTCATCTCTGTCCACCTAACTTCTTGGATCAGAAGGTCATGTAGTATGTATACTAGAGTTTTTGTCACTCCAGGAGGCCCGAATAAACATGAGCGGGTAATATTTCTGGGGAAGCTGGCTACTATCAGAGGGCCACCAGAGGCATGCTGGGGGAAAGGAAGGTATGGAACAACTTAGGGAATCCTACTCAGAGGGCTGACTCCATTATATTCTGAGGCTATGGGATTTAGAAGGTCAAAGGCTGGACAGTCATACTGAGGCACATAGAAGAAAGCAAGCCTGAGGCACATGTCATAACAAAACAGAGCCATTTTAACAATATACTGTTAGAAGTTATGGGACCATGGCCCCGCTCTCAAAATATTTGATTGTGGTTTCACCTTTACAGCTAAAGGACACATTTTACAGCTCTCTTTGCTAGTCTTGCTACTCTTGAGTTTTAGGGCTCTTATTAAGTAAAATAAAGGTTA